CATTAGGATAGTACTATGCCAATTATGTTGGCTGGATACGAAATTCACCAAGGCGATGATACTTTCGACTTACGGCCAGCAATAAACTCAATTGGGAACAGAGGGCCACACAAAGCAGCTGAGATATACGAAAGCAAAAAACTCTATCAGTTACTGAGAGAAAAACAAAACAGTGGTTCTACAATGGATTGCTTGTAACTATGGCATTAAAGCGCACTTGCTAAGAATGTTACTAGAATTTTGCAAGGCATAGACCGGCCGATGTCTTTCCACACAATATAAACCTTATTGGACCGGGGTCTTCCCACACAATGAAGGCCTTAATCAGAAAAGAATTCCCGACCTCAATGTGCAACGAAATTAAAGCTCGAAACCGGCCGATGTCTTTCCACACAATGAAGGCCTTGATCAGAAGAGAATTTCAGACCTCAAGATGCAACGAACTCAAAGCTCGAACAAAGGAGAAATAGTGGACAGTGGCACTCTCCGAATAGAGGAGAAATAGTGGACAGTGGCACTCTCCGACATACCCGGCTGGCGAGAATCGAAGCCGTTGCTGAGTTTAGACTACGTATCGGACAGCTCAAGGTGTAACGAACTTAAAGCTCGAACAAAGGAGAAATATTGGACAGTGGCACTCACCGACATAGCCGACATGACAAGAATCGAAGCCGTTGCTGAGTTTAGATTACGTACCGGACAGGAAGCCGTTGCTGAGTTTAGATTACGTACCGGACACGATTTCCTGGCAAAACACCTTAACAGATTGGGAGAATACACTCAACCCACATGCCCCCTATGCAACCTATAGGAGTAAATGGAGAAGACCCACCTGATTCGGTGTTCAACGACAAAAACCCAGAGATACTGGGAAGCAAGAAGACAGCTAATGAACTGCCATATATGTACCCCCCCCCCCCCCACCCATGGGGAAAGCTAAAGCCAAAGTTTAAGAGCTACTGATAAATATCATAAAGCCTGCCATTTGAAAAAAACAATGAGGAGTAAAGATAAACACCCCACTCAAATCGATATGATAATGAACCCATATAGCTAAATTTGATATTTTATAGATCAAATGTCACTCAGAAACAACCTAAAATTTAACGACAGGGGACCTCGTAAGAAATAGACCGAATTTATGCATAAAGTTATTAGAGAGAAGAGGAAAATAGAGTTCTGTACAGAGAAGGGAATTCGGAAAGAACTTAACTAGAGATTTACAAGTCAGCTTTAGCTTCCTCAGATTTTACAACAGAAGATGGAGATGAGACAGAAATAGAAGGGACAACCCTTTCAAGAGAATAAAGAGGTCGAAAAGACTCAAAGAAACCACAATCAGCCAGGAGGTTCGGGAAGACCCACACTTGTAATTTCCCGAGTGAAGAGATGAAAATAGCCCCAAATATGATTAGCCGCATCAAGGTAAGTAGCGCAATAAGACCAACAAAAGACAAACCGGCTGTAAATAGGTAGTGCAGACCTTGGAGAGCAGAAGATGGCCACAAAGGGTGAGCACAAAGGAGGAGCACAATGGCAATCAGGGCAAAACCCATAAGCCACGTTTTAAGACTAGGTGGGGCTTCATAGATCCATACGTAAACATCCTCCGCTCCACTTTCATCTGGTTTACTATCCACATAAAAGACCTGATCGGCTGCATATTCCAATCGGACAGGCTTTCGATGCTTCGACATTGGGGAAGAGGAAAACATTGACATGAAAGAACCTTCTCTCGTGGTGGGCTTCGTACCACTTTTAACTTCAGACGAAGCTCCGGATTCACCATCTAGGCCCTATTGTGTAAAAAAGTTAAGTAAATGAAGTATATATAAGCATATATCTCAAATCAACAAGATCATTATACAAACCGAAGTAATAGTCTTCCTTGATTTTTCTTTGGAATTGTTGGTTTTACGAATCTTAATGCTTTTATCGTCATCTTTCTTTTTTCGTTTAACTTTCAAGGCTCTAATAGGAATGATATACAACTGAATGAAGATTCATACCGGCCAATAAGTCGTTTTTCGATTAATTTTTCCATAAATCTAATTGTAACTTCACGATTCGAAAAGCAAATAGATTTCGAGTCTTTTTTACCACTTGGAAGAATGGCCCAAGGGGATTTAAGTAAGAACTCAACGGCTTCATTAGCCTTAAAATAATTGACAAGACAACCTGCGAGACGACCATCCTTTGTGGGCAATTTCCTGAACATATATTTGCAAACTTCTAATTCAAAAGGAGTTGGCTGCATGTCATTAGCTGCCGTGTCACCTTTCTTAGGCTTTCTTCGCTTTTTATCATCCATGACCAAAAATGAAGATCGCATTCACAATTACCAATAGGTAGAATCAAATGCCACGTAAGAGAGCACCGCCCAATAAAACTGATGCATTTGACACACATTTATACATTCAAATAATTGTCATTTTTTCTGAATTTATTATAAATAATCAATAAATCAACAACTGCAAAATTATATGACATTATGAAATAACGTTTATGTTTTAATACGGTAAATACGAAGAATTTGAGCAAAACAATATAGTTAATTTCTTGGACCGGGTAGCGATCTAAATCCAACACACCTCGCCTCCTATTTTAAAAAGATCGATTTTCGCTTTGCTACAGCAAATTCCAAATTAATCGCATAGTCTTCAAACAGGGCACTATCTAGTCAATAAATGAACATTAAGCTTTTCGGCTTAACCATGTTGAACAAATAAATGTAATTATGAAATTATCTATTTTGGCCATTCAATTAATTTAAAGTAGCACAAGAGAACATAGATCCGTTTTCACGGCTTTAATTAAAGGGAAAACCAGCTTTATGACTCCAGAATACTTTTACTTAAACCACCACTCCATTTAATTAAATAGTGATCATAAATTAGAAATTAAAGTTTTCCCAGAAAATGTCTTTTGAATGAGATTATTTACTTTTCATTCTTTAAGTAAATAACCGGCCAAACGGTTTGGGACTGAATTTTCCACCAAGCTTTGGGATGCTCACTGTTGCTGTTCGAAACCAACCAACTGTTCTCCTTGCTCTAATACCATGTTCTACGTTAACAGCTCACATAAGCCCTGTGATAATAAATTCAGATAAGCTTACGAATACATATAAACTATAAAATGGTTTCAATGGGTGTTAAAACGAGTTTCTCAGCCATCAATCACCCAGCCTACGCTTCCAATACTCGACTTTTGTTAAAAATGTGCGGCAACGACAACCCCCACCCTCACAATCCATCTTCTTCAAAGAGCACACTTGTGCAAGATAAGAGGCTAAAATGCATACTCACCTGTCAATGCATGCACCTTAATTAAAAACCACCTCCGTAACGCATGACGAATTCGGCGAAATTATTTGCATGCTAAGATGCGCGAAAACTATGAATTAAATAACTGTTAGATTCACTTAATTGCAATCTATAAACAATGATATTGATCAAGTTGCACTGATATCACTAATGCCACCTCTGATAATATAATCAAGGCGTGAACACAAAAAATGAGAGGACGAATCGCTAGGTGTGACCCGAGCAATGGAAATGAAGGAACAATAAATGACAGCATTGAGAATTGAAAAACGCTCGCACAAACAGTTTAAGACGCGAACCTTAGATATAAAAGTTCTTTAAGAAAAAGTAAAGGGCGGTAGGCAATTGCAAAGGTTAGTAGATTCAAGCGAAATCCAATAAACTATGAAATTGTAACCGCGCCCACTGGTTGTGCGTAAAATAATTGCTTTTAATCATTCACACTAACGGATAACACTACCGTTCACTTCCTGTAAAACATATAAGTTTAATGCACTTTAAATCCATTATTTAGTGCAAATAACTGGGAATCGTGGGTTCATTGTGTGCATTAATGAAATTTTCAATTAATTTGCCTACTAACCAATTGACTATGTCAAGTTCAAAGATAAGAAGCAGATGAGGCACGTGCTGTAACCCTTTGTAACTTCTCACATCCGCACAGTACCGTTATTTTCATCTTGCCAGTTATTCTGCAATTCAATACACACTTTCCGTTTCACTATTGGGTAGTCATAACTGCTTTATACGTCCTTGAGAGATTCATAGATTTATTTCATCTTAGTTTCCTTTTATAGTGACACACACATTGTAGGCGACATGACCAATTGCTCTGGTTTGAGGCAGATTGAGAGAAGGGGAGGGGAGGTGACGACCAGCCCACCAATGCTTTCTCAATCCACTTTCCTGAGTTATTGAAAAGTCCGGCCACTTTCCTTTCACATCACCACTGGCTAATTAATGATCTTCCTCGCGTTTACCCACTATACACTTTCCTCCTCTTTGTTACAGGCATTTCTGACTAGAGTAGGTCAGGCCTTTGGTAATTCTCTCTCCTACAACTGCACCAACACTTATAAAACCCGCATTTCCCCACTTTCCGATAGCCGATACGCCCAATTCAATTCCACTTCCAACTGTTTGTGCTTCTTTCCATTTGGATGCACTTTCACAAGAAATGCGGCTGAAGAGCAATTCGCCCAGAAAATAGAAGTAGTGTCAATAAGCATTCTTAATGATAAAACCGACTCAAAGGAACCTTCTACAAAAAGAACATCAAATCTCTCTGTTCAGGCAAAATTTTGAATTGGTTATTCTCCAGCAATATTTCAGGGTTGTTGATGCCTTTCATCCAGTCTCTTCCTCTAAACGCAGCCAAGTGCGCATAGTAGGTGGGTGCAGGGTAGGAGACACTTCGTGTGCACCTCATATAAACATGGCACAGATAGAAGGTAAACATCTGCAATTCGTCCGCGCCCAAATCATTATCATCATAGATGACATGGTAATGGGCTGGCTTCGAAGTTCCTTGAATTCCCTGCTGTGAGCACAGGTAGAAGTCGAATTCACGACGATGCGTTATATCTGTATCCACTATTGTGCCAGGGTCGACGTTAACTAAGCTAAAATGTGCACAGAGAAACACTAGCGTTTAAAAAGCATAAGAAAAGGAAACGAGAGGCACGACAGAAAGCGCAAGACATACTTCTTTTCAGTAGGAAGGAACCGAATGTGATGACGTTTCTGAACTACTATGAAAGTGATACCTGGCTGGTAACCCACTCTCAACTTCGTGCAGGCGCGTTGCATTGCACCGAGTTCTTTGCTCACAACTATTTTGAACTGGCCCTCCGAAACACCATCACGGTAGAAGATTACCTTGGTGGGCAGTGTATTATTTTTTTTGAAGAATGCCTATAAAAAGATGACATGTTAACAAACAAGGTCTCCGTAAAACCAAACCCTAATTTTTAATTATAAAATGGGTTACGTCTGAAAATTAGAATGCCATATACAACTAGTCCACACCCCCAAACTTAGACAATGAAGGAGGTGCAACATAACAGAGCCCTCATAGTGGAATCAAAACTTGCACCTTCTCAATATTTTATTAGCCATACACGAAAAACTGCTCCAACCCGTTATGGAAACCCACACAATAGTCGAATATGGAAGAGAATGTATTCTAGAGCTGGTCTTTATTAAGACCAACTTTTTACCGCTTTAGTCACCAGAATTAGCCAAGGCATTTGGGCACTAACGCAAATAGACCTCCACAATGGAGTATTGATTTCCACCTGACAGACGTGCACGTTAAGTACTACAACATACAACAAAACTCAACTAATTCTCATGAAATAAGACTATTTGAATGTGCATTAGCAGAAATGGATTCTGTAATACCTGACATCAGGAGTTGACAACGATGGTACTAAATACGACACGACAACAACATGAGGCATACCTGCAAAAGCTGCTCGAATATTCCCTCCATATCCTCTATGTCCTCACGAGCGGTATTTGTCTCCTTAATCTTCTGGTAATTCTGCTGCTTCACTACAGCTACATACTTCATGTAGTTGGGGGAAATCGAAGCAACAACAGCCGCGACCGATTTCCTCAAGGCATTTATTTTAGCTGGCCCAGGATGTGTAACATCGGCGCCGACAACCATGACAATGTCTTTGCCCCAATATCCTCCCATTCCATCGAGTTCCCAATTTTCACCCCCCAACTTGCCGTTGATTTTCAGCAAAATATTAGCTAAAAAAGAGAGACCCATCCAGTCACATTTGGTGGGACGAGATAATAGAGTACCATTAAAGACTACTTACACCACGCGTTCGGTTTCCCCAATGTGCTGTCCTTAACGCATTGCGTCACCAAAAACTCCTGAAACTCACAAGCACGTTTGATATCGCTGTAGGGTCCAACTTTGGGCAGAACGCAAATAGCCAGTTTCACACCCTACACGAGGGAGAAAGCGACCCACATGTAACGCCAATGGCTGATTGAATGAAATTAACGAAGGAGAAAACACTCACCTCTTGGCGAAGTTTTCTGAAACAAATTGGAAGTTCAGCGACCTGAACATTCGACAAATACCTCGTAAATTGAAGATGAAGGCCAAGTTGCCGCCCAGCAAAAGCAATATCTTTATTTGTCTTATCCAAAGCATTGAAATATCTGGAAAAGTTGATGATGGCATATTTCACCTCCCTAGAAGCTGGCACTTTAAATGGAGTGGCTTTCCATGCGCCTNTTTGGAGTGGGAAGAACTCTTGCGTCAGCCGTAACAGGATTTGGGGATACGAGTTTCAATCTCAACGCGTTAACTAGAGGCGATTGCCTAAATTAAGACGCACACAAAAAACACGTCACAATATTAAATGTCAACTAGACGAATAATCATTCACTTCATCAATATACCAACTTCTTGCGAGTCGCGTTGAAACAGGTTTCAACTATTGACTAGAAACTTGGCAGTGGAATTCGACAGTGGGGGTTGAGACAATTCGGTTCTCGTGATCTCCGCCTTTGCAGTTGTGCAATCACATCACAATCTACTTTTCCTACTAGTGTTCCTCGAGGTCATTAATGAGAATCAAGTCTCCTCAATGATGCATTCGAAGACAAGCGAATAGTCAACTACTCTTCCAACAAACAAGCAGCAGTTCTACTTTTCATATAAAACTGAAGGAAAGTTACGCTTTGCAGCTTTACCTTACTGGATATCGTAATTACAACAGATGCAACACCTTAACAATACAAAAGATTGACACCAATGACAATATTTCCGGAAGTAGTAAGGGGTTATTTCACAATTTATAGTAATTTTACGCACCTAATAGCGGTCCTGAT